TTTGCTCGTAGATACTGTCGTTAAATGTAAAATATGTGTTCCTTACTGTCAGGTTGTTCAGTCGTGCTATTATTCTTTCCGTATTCGTTATGCCTACAGGATGTCCTCTTCTTGCTCCAATATCTCCGGCAAGGCGCTTACCGCCTTCTCGCCTGAGATGTTTGTGTACATGGATTGTACATCGAAACTCATCAACAATTCCGACCCCACAAACCCAATGTTCTGGATCCTTTGAGAAAATTTATATGAATTGTTAACGTTATTCTAGAGTCTGTTATTTACTTTCTTAAGCTTCAAGCAAATTAATTTCGCTAGTTTGTGTATTGCTCCATGCTTGTTGTTGACTATTAGTCTTAGCGGATTTCCTTCCTTGCTTATCTTCGGTAGTCCGTAGGCTGTTGGTGGCCTTGCGTCAGACTACGATGCCGGTGAACGTTTGGGAATGTATTAAGTCCACTGTCAGATGCTGGGAATCATGGCAAATACTATGGCAGACGACTGGACTAGGTGCGTTCTACATGGACACTCTGACAACAAGATCAAGTTGCGACAACGAGGTCAACCCACTTCTATAAATCGAAATGAGGCTGCGACCATAACAGAGGCCACAACATCTTGGTCTTCATATATTCAATCACTACCCTTGTCCTATCGTCGTCTATAGCAGTTGATGCCTTCAATAAAAAACCATCAAAATTTGCCCGTGTTAGCTTTGTCTTGATCTGCCTTATTATCCCATAACTAGGCAATTTCTTGTCATTGCCCATCCTTTGACCAAACATGTGCTAAACAGTTGTGGCATCTCTTCTTCTGCCCTGGGCTATTCACTTTTTCTATATCCTCCTATCATGCCTTCCCTGACAAAATTTTAACTGTGCTTATTTTTAATGTAATGTGGTGTGCTCCTTCGAGCGGCATTCATGAAAACCCTTCACACTCCACACTGTGGTTATCACCCCCTTCACTATTGTGCTAAGAATGTTGACCAGAGTCTGTCATATTGTTACGTAGTCCTTCACTGGGTCCTATCAAAGTTTCCCTCTTGCCTCGTCGAATCCGTTTGCTATCAACCTGGTACACGTATTTCACTCGACCCCTGCCCCCATCTGTGCTAAAGCTTTAGAGTAAGTCTCATGGTCATGCCTCTTGTAAAACCTACTGTCAGCCAACTAGCTCCAATCGCCGCCTCGTCTATCCTGTCTCTATCCCTAGTACCAAGTCTATGACTTGCCATGCCCTAGTTGCTTGTATGCTAACCCACAAATGTTGTGGTAATGATGGCTTTGATTAGGTTCATGTTGAACCACAACGTTTGTGGGTCGGCAAACAACTTTTATACAACGAAAAGAGACTGCGACTACACAAAAGGCCACACCATCTTGTTCTTCATACCTATTAAAAAAATTTATAATTTTTATTTTATTTCTAGTTCCACATCCCCTTTACTCTTTTTTTATTTTTCTTTGAAAGTGGTATGGAGTGCCTCCCCATCTTCAACAACTGACCTTAGCCACTGCCTCCACTGGCGTTTCTTCGCCCCCATCGACTGGCCCAATGCAACCCGTTGGCGTTTGGTCGTTGCCTGGCCAACAGGCTACTAGCAATACAGGCTCTGCTGATAGCTCTGCTTCTCATACCGGCCAAGTATTTTCTAGCGAACTTAATAACCTTGATGCTCAAACGAGGAAACTTTTCGTTTCTTCTGGATTTAGCCCATTTCTTGACGTATGTCATATACATTATTTCAAGAATTTACTCCAACAGTATTCTCATATTTTTTTTAAATATACAAGCCTTTCTTAAATTAGGCCTGCATATCAAAGAAGCCTTATACCTCTATAGTCTTTATGCCTATATATTGACTTATAACAAAGTATCTTGGTCTTAACGAAATATATTTCATGACCGTTATACTATTACCTTTGCAGGATAGGATTTTCTCCTTCCGAATTCCTGACAGATAGAATGTCAGCAAAGCCAACTACTAATTTACTTTATCTTTGATATTTGTCTAGGATTAGTTGTCAGACTAGAAATAAGCCTTAAGTATACTTGTCACTTTGATGAGTTGTAACTCTGTGCTAACTATGGAACCTCTGGCGATGTCGGCGAAATGTCTGATAATGTATCAAACTAATGGTCCGATGTTGAAGGTCACGAGTAGTCTGGCAGAGGACGCAAGATTAAGCACTTTCCACAAGGTATGTCTGTGGCTCCGACCAAGTTGAGAAAATGAGCTGAAAACTTCACTATACAGCTAAAGGAGACTGCGACCAAACAGAAGGCTACACCTTTATCTTCATATTTAGTTATATCTACGATTTAAATTTACTGTTTATAGAGGATATCGAGTCTTGAGTCACCCGATACATCGTTCTAAGCATTGATAGAAAATGGAAATTCTTCCATAGTTTTATTTGCATTTACATAAGCTGAAACCAACACTGTGATGCTTGCTTCATATTCATTTAGCTTATATCGGTTCTGATGTCAATCGGACATATCTGACATCGATAACAAGAATTGTGTAACGTAAGATTAACGCCACTTACTCGATACTTTAATTCGACGTGAAATTTAGCCTGGATAGGTTTCTGATAGTGGTATCAAAAAAAGAAAGACTCTTATGGTTGGTACTTTTTGATTCAATGCGAGTCTATTTGACTTTGACTGCCTGTTCACAATTCTGCGGTTCAGGTGAAAACTGTTTTTGGTGTTCATCAATATTTATAGTGGCTTCAAGATCCTATTTTTCTTTGCCTTTGCAATCTCATTTTGCTCTTAACGAGATATCTGATATCTTATCATTGGATTTTCATTTGTCA